TTCAAAAAAATTATTAGCAGTTATAACAGAATTATTACAATCATAACTAACTTTTGCTTATCTACGCTAGCTATTACTAAGAAACAGTCATGGATTGAGGAGAATTTCTCCAAAGAGGTGGCAATGGCACGGCCGGTTAAGAGGCAAGCACAAGTAGCACAAGATGACATTAAGGAGGAACACCTTTTGGCTTTCATTCTGAAGAAGAAATATGAAAAAGATGATGATTGCAAAACAGAACTCAAGAAATATTGTGAAGAGTTGAAGGAAGCAGATGGTTTGAAAGTAAATGATAAAGTTAAAGAAATTTGTGATGATAAAAAACGAGACGAAAAATGCAAAGACGTGAAAAAAAAAGTTGAAGCAGAATTGAAAGCTTTTGAAGGGGAGCTTGATACTGCATTGTCAGATGACATACAAGATGAAGATTGTGAAAAATATGAAGAAAAATGTATACTTTTAGAAGAGACGAGTTATAGTGATATTAAGGAGAACTGTGTCGAGTTGAGGGAAGGATGTTACAAATTGAAGCGTGAAAAGGTGGCAGAGGAGCTCCTTTTGAGGGCTCTCGGAAAGGAAGCTAAAGATAAATGTGAAGAAAAGATGAAAACTGTTTGCCCAGTGTTAAGCCGAGAAAGCGACGAATTGATGTCTTTTTGCCTTGATCCGAGTGGAACGTGTGATGCACTGAAAAAAAAATTGGATACTGTTTGTGGGCCTTTAAAAGAAAAGCTTAAAGATAACGAATTAGAGGGAAAGTGTCATGAAAGACTTGAGAAATGTCATTTTTACGGAGAAGCGTGTGATGGTGCGAAATGTAAGGAGGATAAGACGAAATGCGAGGGAAAAGGATTCACATATAAAGCGCCAGAATCTGATTTTAGTCCGGTGAAACCAAAGGCGTCGTTGTTAAGAAGTATTGGGTTGGATGATGTCTATAAAAAAGCTGAAAAAGAAGGAATTATTATTGGAAAATCAGGAGTGGATCTACCAAGGAAGTCAGGTACAAAATTTCTGCAAGATCTCTTGCTAGTCTTGAGCAGAGACAAGGGAGAGAAGGATATAGATAAAAGGTGCACCGAAGCGTTAAATAAATGTGATGCTTCTAAGTATTTGAATACTGATTTGATGAAGTTATGCAAAGAGAATGATAAACAAGAGAAATGCAAAGCATTACTAGATGTAAATGTAAAAGAAAGATGTACAAAACTCAAATTAAATCTTTATGTGAAAGGGTTGTCTACAAAATATAATGAAAAAGAAAAATCAGAACTTTTATTCTGGAGAGAACTGCCAACATTATTTACGAAGGGAGAGTGTGCAGAACTTGAGTCGGAATGTTTCTATTTAGAAAATGCGTGTAAAGATAATGAGATTGGTGAAGCGTGTCAAAATCTACGATCAGCGTGCTATAAAAAGGGACAAGACAGGATGTTGAATAAGTTCTTTCAAAAGGAATTGAGGGGAAATCTTGGTCTTGTAAGATATCGTAGCGATCCTGGTGATTGTAAAAAATATGTAGTGGGAAACTGTACAAAACTTGATAAAAAATATCTTCCACGATGTCTTTATCCTAAAGAACTATGTTATGCGCTTTCAAATGATATTTTTCTTCAATCCAAAGAGTTAAGTTTGCTTTTGGATGATCAAAGGGATTTTCCATTTGAAAAGGATTGTCTTGAATTGAAGGAGAAGTGTGATGAACTTGGTAGTGATTCATTATTGAATTTAGAAAAGTGTATAACATTGAAAAGACGCTGTGAATACTTTAAGGTTACAGAGGGATTTAGAAAAGTATTTTTAGAAAAAAAGGATGATTCGTTAATGACTCAGGGAAACTGTACAAAGGTATTGCATGAGAAATGTAATACTTTATATAGGAGGAGAAAGAATTCATTTAGTGTTTCATGTGCTTTACCAGAAGAAACATGTAGTTATATGGTATTCCATACAAGTCAAGATTGTAGTAGTTTAAAAGTCAACATCAAGAATGAAAAAATTCTAGAAAAAATTGAACAAGAAAAAGCAAATGAAGCCTTGGTTGAAGAACTCTGCACAACATGGGGCCGACATTGTCACCAACTTATGGAGAATTGTCCGGATGACTTGAAAAAAAAAGAAGGTGATAAAGATCAAAACTGTGATGAACTCGAAAAAAAATGCAGTGAAACTTTTGAAAAGTTGAAATTGAAGGAGGAGCTAACTCATCTGTTGAAAGGAAGTTTAAGCAAAGATGATGATTGTAAAAAAAAATTAGGAGAGAGTTGTACTGAGTTGGAAAAGAATCAAACATTCAAAATTCTGCTTACTAATTGTGATGATCCTACCAAGGGAAATGTTTGCAAAAAATTAGTTGGTAAAGTAAAAGAGAGATGTCTTACTTTAAAAGACGAACTGAAGAAAGCGAAAGATGAGTTGACAGAGAAGAAAGATGAATACGATGAGCTCAAACAGGTGGCAGAAAAATCTACAGAGGCAGCTAAGTTATTGCTATCAAAGTCTGGAAAAGCCGCAATGCCAAGTGGACAGGATAGCAATGCTTCTGGACCAGTACCAGCACCAGCAGAATCATGGTCGCCATCATCACCAGCAGTTCCACCACCACCACCATCACAAAATGGAACGCCAGACACACCAGGTGGAGAAACAGGCACACCAAGCGGGGCATCAAACACACCAGGTGGAGTACCAAACACACCAGGTGGAATGATGAAGTATGCAAAACTTGGACTCGTTAAAAGAGCATATGTAGATGGAGGTGTATCAGAAGTAGAGGTAAAAGCATTTGATGCAACGACGATAGCATTGGAGTTGTATTTGGAATTGAAAGAGGAATGTAAAACTTTAGAATTAGATTGCGGTTTTAAAGAGGATTGTTCAGATCTTGGTATTTGCGGAGAAATAGACAAGTTATGCAAAGAAATAGAACCATTAAAAGTTACGCCTCATCATACAGAGAAAATAACAGAAATCTCAACCACTACGACGACCACTACGACGACCACTACGACGACTACTACCACGACTACGACGACAACTACTACTACAACCAAGCCGGGAAGTGGAGGAAAAGTAACAGAAGAGTGTACAATGATACAAACAACAGATACATGGGTAACGCGTACGTCATTGCATACGAGTACGACAACGAGTACGTCGACAGTGACGTCGACAGTGACGTTGACCTCGATGCGCAAGTGTAAGCCTACCAAATGTACCACCGATTCAAGCAGAGAGACAGATAAAGGAGAAGAAGGAAAAGATGAAGAAGATGTAAAACCGAATGATGGGATGAAAATAAGAGTTCCTGATATGATTAAAATAATGTTGTTGGGAGTGATTGTTATGGGGATGATGTAAATGAATGAAAAAAATGTTAATAGAATGAAAATGTGCATATATCCATTGTTTATATATAATAGAAATGTAAATGAATGAAATGAAGTTTTAAT